TTGTTGTCTCATTACTTCTGGAACATACCTCGTATGCCTACAGAACCCAACAAACAATAATATTTTCTTGATATTATGTACATCGTTGCATTTCAACACTGTTGGAAAACTACAAGGAATGATGAGAATAGATCGACTGACTCATAAAGGTGGAGATAATGGTAGAAACATATACTTAGGGAGCACACACGTATATTTTTAGCCTCCGAGTGACGGAACTGGGGCTAAATAGAGCATCGCACGGTTGGAAGGCCGTTATCGATGATTAATAGGAGGGCAATTATAAGACAGACAGAAAGTGGCGTCGTCATCAATCATGGATTTTGCCTGTTCAGGTAGAGAAACAGGAAACTTTCCAGCAGTTCTAAATGTACGCGGAGCGTCGCGACGACAACGCCGGCGTCGAACCGTCTTGCCGATGATTTTACAACCGCTCGTTTGGGTCAGGGACATTAACACATTAAAACTGCCTTCGGATAATATCGGCAGAATAATTTTGTACTTTTTACTGACTATGCATAAGCTGATAAGAAAGAACAAAAAGGTATCAATTTAATTTTCTTAAAAGGGAGACAATTACAAATGGAATATTAATTTTAGCGATATCGTTAATCATTAAAAATTAAAAACCAATCAAACTGCTATTACCCTATGAGAAAAAAGTGGACATTCGGCATTAGTTTTATGAATAAGATAATTACAATGGGATTTTCCAATTAGGTACACTTTCTACGAAACTTTTGAACATTCTGTAACATTTTGAAATATCAGTTGTTAATAGGTCAGTTCCTATTTATGTAATCGTTTCTTATGTGCATCATGAATGGTGGCGTCGATAACAATAACATAACAACCTAGGGGAGAGTGTGCTTCTCCTGCTTCTGCTTCTCCTGCCTGCTGTATACCAGAATACTCAAATGTAATAAAGGAGATAGCTATATTTGTTGTTTTCACTTCCCTCTGCTCGGTTGTACGATAGGGGTTCGTGCGATACATTATTTAAAACGCGGTCTGTATCCCGTTCTGACGGGAACAAATGGGCCGAAGCGTTACAGCGTAGAGGAGCAAAAGTAGTAATTGGCCAAAAAGGAAAATGCGTGAAGCAAAAGCAAAAACACACTCTCCTTGTCATCATTGCCTTGAGCAATGATCCTACTCAGATAGCAGACGCGTAATGGAAAAACGATTATAATACCATTACTCTGTTATTATTAATAATAATACCTGCTATTATGAAACCACAATCTAAATGTTGCTATTATGTCTGAAAGATTGAGCTGATGGTGAAGATATCTTTATAATATTATACGGGGTGGATTTTACCAAAGTAATAAGCGTATGCCAAAGGCGGCGATCTATACGGCGGCGTGTTTGTACCACTGATCAGGGTCAACAACAAAAACACGTGCGATAAACTTTCTAGAAACACCAGGAATGTTGAATAAATTGCGACAGGTGTCCGATGGAAGAGACGTTTCTTATACTAAGATAATAAATAATTTTCTTTCAGCGTCAACCATTAAAAAATTAATCCGTTTGTGAAAGTCAGTTTCTTTCGATGGGGACATCAACAACAATTCTTCGGCTTTTCCCTTTCACATTAGATGCATTCCAAGCCATTTCTCTAAACTTTTCACCAAATGTTATTGTTCGCCTTTAATCTGCCTCTTCCGTCCCTTATCACTACCGTTTTAACTGCCAAATTGATCGAATGTGCTAAACTTTTTTTTCTCCGGAGCGGAGCGATAAAAGTTGAACAGATGGTGAAAAATACACATTTTTAACTGTCAGTTTAAAGCATTCGATTGCTCGCGGTCCACGGAATTTTTGCCGTTTTTAAACTGCTTGATTTATGCCTGTCTGTTTTTCAAAAAGCAAAATAAAAAACGAGACGAACCAACAAACATCCCTCACCACTTAGTTTCGCGCGGTTTTAATCTGATGACTTGGAACAACTTTTGACAAATTGTACGTAACTTCGTAAACCAAAAAAAAAAAAAGAAAAACAACAACGAATTTGTACCTCAATTCTGCAAATCGGCGATGTCGTCGAAGAAAAGCTGCAATTTTTCTTTTCATAAGCTTTGATTAATTTCAAACTCTAAACTCTCTCTTAAGCGCTTAAGGTATAAACAGTAAATAAATAAGTTTTGAATCGATTTTAAAAAAGTGTACTTATATATGGCAAAGAAGTTGTATAGCAATTTGTTTCTTACACATGCGCAAAACCCTGAAAATAAATATAAACTTGATAAACACTTACGTCATCGCTGTTTTCCTCGACGACACAATGGACGACGTGACGGATCGTATTTAATGCTTTTGACGAACATTTCTTCCTTATGATTAGTTACACAAATAATGTACGTTAATAACTGTTTGCTACAAATATCTGCTTGTCTGATTCGATTAAATTAAATAAAAGCTTTATCTTAAAGCTCACCCGATTACACCATTCGCGACCACGGAAAATCAAGGACGACGCACTATAGATATCTAGTGAAAGTGAACTGACTGAAACTAAAAGCGAACCCATAAAGAAAATAAAGCTCCATGAGTACCGAATAATCATTGAGATATAACCAAATTGACTAAGTTCATTAAATAATATCTAACTAAAGATTTAATCGTAAAACGAAACAATTTGGAAGTAATTGAAAAAGAAAATCTGATATTTTTAATTTAATAAAACTTACTATCTTAAAGCTCATCAGACTACACCATTCGCGAACGCGGAAAATCAAGGACAAACTAGATAATATAGATACTTACTGTAGTAAAAATGAACTAATTGAAACTAAAAGCGAACCCATAGAAGAAAATAAAACTCAGATAGTAATGAATAATATCTAAATCATTGAAAGATAATTAGATTGATTAACTTCGATAAGTAATATCATACCAATGATTTAATCGTAGGAAAAAACAATTTGGAAGTGATTAAAAAAGAATATTTGATATTGTTTTAGTCAATATGAAACTACAGTCGATAGAAAATAAAATAAATAGTTTAAATTTGCAAAAAAGATAACTTCAGCTCAAAATGTTTTCTTTTTTTGCTTTTAAGAAATGTGAAAATTAGTGACAAAGGAAAAGAGAACTTTGATATTGTTTCTTTCTTTTCTTAAATGATAGCGAAAATACTTACGTATTTTTTTTTCTCATTTTCAGTTGCAAATTGAAAAACTAAAATATGCGAATCATTGTTTAATTAATTTGTTCAAAAGGAATTACTCAAAACTGACAAACCTAAACAATAAATTTGAAAAAAATGTTAGTTAACAATTAAAATATGACAATAAACAATAAACAATTGTAGAGATCTTTTCAAAAATCGCATAAAAATAAAGTGGCTGTTATTAGAATAGAACGATGGTGTTAATATATGGTCAATATATCTTCGAGTTGGAGTTTTTACGAGAACGGCAGTAAATTAGATTTAAATGGAGCGTTTTTGCTCGCCATCAGTCACATCAAGAAAAGTGTAAGAAAAGGTTTCCAGAACGGAGCACTTTTGGGCCGAAGAAACTTACTGACAAATCTTCCTCTTAATTGCCAAAAAAGAAAAAGGGAACGGGACTTCGCAGTAGTCCAACTCTTAACGAGCGCAAATAAAGTAAACGACGGACCTTTTTGACTGAATAGGCAGTTTACAAAGGGCGCAAGCCAAAAAGAGGTCATCGACTGAATAATAAAACGCTCTTACTACCTCAATTCCTCTCTTAATATCAAATAAAACATTACAATCTTAACTAGCTAAGCCCGTTCAAATTTCGATGATGCCAGTGATTCATACAACTTTCTTATAATGTATTATATGTATATGCAACCAATTATACACTCGAATAGAGGCATTTAGACCCACCCATTGTTTCCAATTGTTTATTTCCAGTCGGAATCATCATCATCATAAGGTCGTCAGTCTTATGACCGGTTGGACACGCACCTCCACTCTTTCCTATCCTGAGCTAATCTTCGCATTTCCCTAAAACTAGAACATCCCACGTCCTTAACTATTTGCGAACAGTAATCTAATCTACGTCTACCTCTACCCTCCTAACTAACGTTTCTGTCTCTAATATGTCTCTGACTAGACCTTCATGCCTGAGAAGGTGTCCTACCAACCTATCTCGTCTATTTCTTATCGACTTCCATAGAGTCCTCTGTTCTCCTATTCCTTCTAATGCCTCTTCATTTCTAACCTCTATCCACGGTATCCTCATCATTCGCCTATAACACCACATTTCGAACGCTTCTAACCTTTTCTTTTCCGTCGCGCCCACTGTCCATGTTTCGCACCCGTACAATGCCGTGTTCCAAACATACACCTTTAACAACCTTTTTCGAATTTCTAAATTAACCGTTCGCGAGCATAGACGTGACTTCTTTTATTAAAGGCGACACGACCCTGCGCTATCCTCTGCTTTATCTCCCTACTACTCCTTCCGTCCTGACTTATCTGAGACTTCCTAGATATCTAAAATCAGCCACTTCTTCTAATTTTTCGTCTCCTATCTTTATATTCGCTCTTTCCCTACTTTTTCTTCCCTTGCATACCAGCATTTTAGTTTTACTTTTATTTATTTTCATACAGTACTATTTCGTCAATACCGCTTCTATTTTATTTAAAGCTATCTACAACTCCTCCTTGCTAGATGCTAATACTGCTATATCACAAAAATACGACAAAATTATTCTTTCTTTTATAATATCCCGCTGGGGCCACATTTTAGACGCCATTTGCAAAAACATATTTTCCGATTAGTACTCAAATAAAAAACTAGACAAGCTCTCCCATGAAAAAAGCTGGGGAAGACAATTGTACATAGGTGTGCTACTTTTGCGAACAGAAGGGTGAATATTTTCAAGTTAGAATTTCTGATGGTCGAATCGGTTCCGGATATCAAAATAAAAATCGAAAAATAGAGAGAGCAAGGTTCGATTTTGTAGTGTCCGTTAAGGGATGTGACATGTGTGTGATACGTGATTGGTTACCTTACCTGGACGATGTCCCCATGGTTTTGACCGTTGGCCGTGAAGGTTAAGTGACAGAGGAAGGGCAGCCTGGTCTCCGGAGGTTTGTTCACTTGCAGGTCGTAAGTTTTGCCGACATCTCCATAGTACGTGCGGTTACATACTAAAAAGGAAGGAATTTATTAGACAAGCGTTTTATTTATACACTTACCAGTTAACCCTTATATTGCACACCAACATACATAAAAATTCATGAAAACATTACACGTGCATGTCTCATACAAGTCCAATAAAATTCCCTTATCAGAAGGTTTTAATCCCACAGGGTATATGACACGTCATAAAAACAATAAGTGAATTTACGCATACTACAGCATTTTTCTCTGTCACCCACTGCAGATAATACTGCGGACTTAGGATGGGGTAGGTGTTAGTGTTAATGTTTTGTGCATGAGAATTTTCCGAATTGTAATAGAATTTTTTCGAATGTTCGAGAGTGTTATCGATTTCGTTTAATTCATTTGGTACCCGCTGGTAATCTAATAAAATGCTGAGGAATTCGACTAAAATTTACGTTTCCTTCTGTAGAATTCTTTGTGGCTTAAATCGTCAGAAATTTGTGATAGATATTGCTGGAATTTATGGGTTTCTTAATTTCTTAATATTCACATTAAAATTTTAACTCGTTTCTTATGTTTTTATTTCACTTAAGACTCGCCGCGTTCAGCACCCTCGTTTTCATCTCAGTTGGTAAATTAAGAAGAAAATACTCCTTCTTGTTAATTTTACAGAAACAAGTTTCATTTATTCGAGAAGTGGAATTACGTTATGCAAAAGAGGAAAATTAACGATGCCATGCATAATGAGCTCTTGTACAATGTGAATCTCGTACAGGTATATGTTCATCTAACAGGAAGAACTTTGTATCTCGTTTGAAACACGAAAGATGGAAAAGTTCTAAATATATTAGTTTTTCAAAGTAATTATTCCTGTCTATAACAAAACCATTTTTTATTCTGAGTTGTCTGACTTACTAAATGGTGAAAACTGGCGACTTCCAGAGTCAAAGAAAAAGCTCGATTTCTCTACTTTCGTTATAGAGAGTTTATGTATAAATTATTACTATTATTTTCGAGGATTCGAAGGGCTTAAGCTACCATGGTTCAATTCGGATCACGTTTCTGGTACACCGTAGATAATTGGTAGAAATTCGAATTTAACAGGCAATTAGAGAACACATAAAGGTCAATTTGGCTTTAATAATATCATGGCGTCAGGAGTCGGAGTGAGGTTAACAGTAATTGCCTCTTAAGCAGTGGATTATAACAAGTAAATCCTCGCAACGCCCATAGTACACTCACGTGGCATCGAAAATGCAATTCCTATTTAGTTAATAACTCATTTGCCAATACAACAAATGTTTATTATTCTAGGGAACAATTGCTCCAATGAATGTTAAATTAAATAGATGATGGTAATCCCAGAAATGTAGTAAGTATCCTAGTTTTTTAAAATTAAACGAAAAAACTGAAGATTCCTCTATTCTTGGACGTGAATTCCGTTTAGATCGATGCACTTTTGTAGACGCGTATGCTCCATGTTGTTGGGGAAACGCTGGACACTTTCTGTCACCTTACCATTGCCGGCGGTTGAAGTCAAATGTGCTTTCAACTTAAGAAACTAAGTGTCGTCACTGTGTGGCAGATCTGCACTATAAGCCAGGTTTTCTTGCTCGCGTCAGCCAAACACAAAAGGTTGTATGTCCTTTCCATCTGCATAACTTTGAGAAAATTCGTGGGTTAAGTTAATGCGTTACCTTTACTGGTCTTCTGTAAGCATTCGCGAGGCCCACATTGCACATATCTTTCAATTTTTTCAACTTTGATAAACCGCAAGAAGTAAAACACAAAGATCATAAGGAGTGAACCTACGATCTTCAAGCATGATTAATTCTCTCTCGCCAGGAATTGGGGGTTTCCCGGAGTAAACTCGATATACACCATATGTAGACACTCCTAACATGATTCTTCATAGACTTCAGTCAATTGTTGATTAATTTTCCTGAGTTTTAATGCCTTTTGCATTCACAATACGAATAATTCTGAGATCTTTGCACCAAGAGGTGGCAGAAAGTTGGAGCTGAATTAGAAACGGCTGCCAATCCAAGACGGAGCGTCCGAGGAGACTAACAATCTTTCTTTTGGGAGTGGATTAAGTTACAAGCAGTGATTTGGAGACGTTGCTTTTAGTAATACCATAATATATTTAAAAAGTCTGTACAAATATTCGAGGCTTTTAGGAGAGCATTGATTGAAAAATAGTAGGTAGAAGATGTTATCTCCTTGTCTGGTGATAACTATAATCTAATTTTGTTAGGGCTGCCTACCCCGATAGGCGCTGTTGAGAAATTGAAGTCGTAAATCTCTGAGAAATCGAGAAAACCGAATTTAAAACATGCAGAACGTTGAGTACATACATACGTTAGCTGGTGCTGGCGTACGGAACGGTATTCGCCCTTAATAGTCAAACGGTGTCGGCGGTTCTTCCAAAGATCCTAGCTCGTAAAATGTGTACCGTACGCCATTTGTTCCACGTGTGCCTTGCCGTGTTCTCCCATAGATCTAGGTAATGCCCACACGCGCGCAAGTTAATTAAAAAAAGTCACGGATAGCAAGCAGGTAGAAAAGTTGATGCTGCGCCACACTTTTCCACCGGATGTAATATATCCACGAAATTGGACATTAATCATAAATTCAATTTACAATTATTGAACTGACGCGCTCAAGCCCATTCTCTAAGCAGATTCGCAATGGAAACGCGAGAGCCCAAGGGTGCAAATAAATTACTTACTTAAATCACAAACGACTGCATGTTCCACATGTTTCACTAATAATGTCTTTGGTGTTTTGAATTAATGATTTCTGACAAAATCGAGAATAGTACAATTTCAAATTAATAAAATCGAATAGAGGTTCCCGACAATTTTTTATGTTGTTCAGTTTTTGTAAATGATAGACATAAATAGTAAGAAGCATTTGAGAAGAGCAAAGTACTCTAGAGAATGAAGGTTTACAACGACAAGGTATTAGACCTAGTAGAAGAACAGAGGGCGCAATGAAATTCAATAAGGAAATGGATATGACGGGAGGACACCTCCTGAGACATGATGGGGTAGTTAGAAACATGCATATTAGAAGCAAAAGTAAAATGAGGCAATGAACGACTTATAGATAAGATAACTATAGGATGTTCTAATAAGGACATCACGAAAAAGGTTGAAAACATGTGGCGCCATGGAAATTAATAAAGAAAAAGGAGAAATGTGATGGGAGAACACTTTCTAAGACATGATGGGGTAGTTAGAAACATGCATATTAGAAGCAGAAGCAAAATGAGACTGACGAGGACATCAGAAACAGTAGGAAAATATGAGGCGCCATGGAAATCAATAAAGAAAAAGGAGAAATACGATGTGATGAAAATTCCTTAGACATGAGGGGTTAGTTAGAGACACACTCTTACAAGTAGAAATACACTGAGGTAATAAACAACTTATAGATTAGAATAGTGTGGGATGTTCAAATGAGGATATAGGAAATAGTGAGAGAACGGAGGGCGCTATAGAAATCAATAAAGAAAAGTGGGAATTTGATGGAATGACACCTTCTGAGACATGATGGGGTAGTTAGAAACATGCATATTAGAAGCAGAAGCAAACTGAGACTGATGAGGTATCAGAAATAGTAGGAAAACATGAGGCGCCATGGAAATCAATAAAGAAAAAGCAGAAATATAATGGAAGGACACCTTCTGAGATATGATTCGTTAGTTGGAAACATACATCTTACAAGTAGAAGTAAACTGAGGTAATGAACAAGTTATCGATTAGATTAGTGTGGCATGTTCAAATGAGGAGAACAGAGTTTATAAGCTTTGCATGGGGAAACATTTTGGAATTCTTGCTGGAAATTTTTTTAAGCAATTTTGTTGTAAACTAACAAATTTTAGTGGAACTTCTTCTTGTTCTAAAACTGTGAAATGGTTGTGCAAATACCACCAGTTTTCAATTAAACTTAGTTGATAGGTAGGCAGTCGAGGAAGTGGTCACAGAATTTACCGCTTTTTAAAAAAGGAAATTCTCTCGGTTGTTTCCCGATGACGAAGATGAATTCGCGAGAGCATAAGATGAAGAATAAAATAAGAAGAAGTAGAACGTACCAGAACTGTCGGTCGACAACAAAAACTTTCTGGGCGACTCGACTTGCACTATGCGGTACCCGGGATCCTCCAGTTGACATTATCCCGCAAATACTCCATTAAAAAGGGGCCACGGTTTAAAGTGGTCAGTCGAAACTTTTTAAATTACTTCCGCGACATTTATTTTCTAACAACAACCCAACGATCCCGTAGCAATTTAAACTTTTTAAAAGATCGCATTAAAAAACACGGGCGCGATGGTTTATGGATTAATTTCGTTTTTGTCTGCCGGTAATTTTGACTTTTTGACTACCTTTTCACTCTAGATTAAATCAAATTTCTTCCCGCGCTAATAAATCTTGTAACTAATCAGCCTCCTAAAACGTCGGCAGGCGCTTTCACATTTTACAACGTCCACTTAATAAACATCTAATTAAAACTCTATTTCAACAAAAGTTATACCTTAATTAAATCGTCTTGTATTCATTTTTTTTTTCTAGGTGCTGTATGAGAAACGCTCTCAAATTCTCGTTAGTGTCATAAAGAAAAGTCACTAAAGAATTTTAGAAATGCCAAGAATTTCATCAAATCATTTTTATACTCGGACTTTTCGCTTGTTGTTTAAAGTTTGCGAGATTCTAAAGCTCCACATGTTTAAAAGTTGACGAAATTGAAGGAGAATGAAGAAGAAAGTCGTTACTTCACCGCACAAATTCCGAGAGATTTGAATGAACTTTGAGGACAAGTTTCCTTGGAGATAATAAACGCCATATGACACTGCTACTCATCGCTAGCATAGTTATACACGATTACGAGTAATAACAGTAAAACTTTGCTGCTTTATTCGTTTGTGTCGAATATAAATTCCACAGTCGTCATTATCATTACAAAATGTGAAAATTTATCTACGTTAATTTCTTAAAACGAGTTGCAGTAAATAAGTTTGTGTGAAGTTAATAATTTTGCTTCATTGCGGGAAATAAGTAAAGATTCAATAGTTAAATACAATAAGCGAAAACTGTTTCACATTATGAAACAAAATCAGAATGAGCCTTCGGTGAGTCTTCGTGAGCAAATGATGAGTAACTGTCCGTCTAGCTAACTGGTCAAGAAGAATGTTACTTAACAAAATAAACATATAGGGCTTTCGTGCTCACCATAATAATCATACTCACACGGAGAATTCAATGGGCGAGGGTAGTACAAATGGCATGTTTCTAGAACGAGCTTTTGATGAGTCTGCGTGAGCAATCATACTCACACGGAGAATTCAATGGGCGAGGGTAGTACAAATGGCATGTTTCTAGAACGAGCTTTTGATGAGTCTGCGTGAGTAATCATACTCACACGGAGAATTCAATGGGCGAGGGTAGTACAAATGGCATGTTTCTAGAACGAACTTTTGATGAGTCTGCGTGAGCAATCATACTCACACGGAGAATTCAATGGGCGAGGGTAGTACAAATGGCATGTTTCTAGAACGAGCTTTTGATGAGTCTGCGTGAGCAATCATACTCACACGGAGAATTCAATGGGCGAGGGTAGTACAAGTGGCATGTTTCTAGAACGAGCTTTTGATGAGTCTGCGTGAGTAATCATACTCACACGGAGAATTCAATGGGCGAGGGTAGTAAAGTGGCATGTTTCTAGAACGAGCTTTTGATGAGTCTGTGTGAGCAATCATACTTACACGGAGAATTCAATGGGCGAGGGTAGTACAAGTGGCATTTTTCTAGAACGAGCTTTTGATGAGTCGGCGTGAGCAAACGTTGAGTGAGCAATTATCCACTTAGCTGATCGAGTTAACAACGAGGGTATTGAGCCAAATAACAACCAATATGCTTACCAACGTAATTACAAACAAATTGAACATTAAAATGACGACAGCAGCTACACAGATGATATATTTTTGTAATGAGCTTTATGTGAATAAATACTAGACTATTAACCGTTGTTCTTAGATAAATTCATTAGTGATTAAAAATTCCCCTCCATCGGTGGCCTCTGAACATGGCAAATAAACAAGGGCACAGGGAAGCTGTTATAATAGTAAAATCCATTGTGTAGCGCCGTTTCAACCATTAAACGGCACATTCTGTTTGCATGAGATAGAGTCATAATTGAATATCCATGTAGCCAGTCGGCTGAATTTAACATGGAGGTTATTTAGGAAAATAACACAGTGTTCACCATCGCAATCGCAATCGCGTAGATAGAGAAATCCTCTAGCACTTTATCGCTCATTAGGTGCCAGCATACATCAGTGCGGCGAGGTGCGGCGCCAAACCAAAGCCCACTGTAATAATGCAATCACTGAGTGTGGAAGCAAAGATATCCCGGTTATTTTGCATTTGTATGTATTGTAATACGCCGGAATGTTACCTACAATGCACACACATACACATCTATATACGAACGTGCTGTATTATTTCACGTTAAATATTATTCTACGTGACCCATTTCTTCCAGACAGGAAGCTACAGGAGAAAACGAATAAAGTGAAATGCAACGGGAGAGAAGTGAAGAGAATACGCGGTCTATCGCTGAAGTTGCTACGTATTGTTCGTGGGTTCCTGTCAGAATCAATGTACAAAAGGATCGGGTAACATTCGTAACGTTCATATTTCAAGCTACACTTGAATAGAATCCTTCAGGATAATTGACCGCGACGTCAGTACCTGCGGGAAATTTTCCTCATCGGCTATTGTTACCCCTTAATCGATATTTCAAACACTTTCAATAGTTTGTTATTACTTTTCACTATTGCAAAATATACACACAGCGTCATTAAAATACCATCCTAATTTGGACTACCGTACACATAACTGTTTGGATCGTTTTGTATACTATATTAAAATACCGTATATCATTTAAGGACTCGCCTGTGGCTCACAAACTGCTCGCCTATTCGAGGAATCTAAAGGTACCGCCACGCGTAGTTCACTAATTTAGTAGCTCCACATACTTACTGGTTCAATATGAATGACATACTTATTCTACTCCTTTCTATCCTAAGGAAATCTTGGCATTTCCCGAAAACTACAACATAGCGCGAGTACAGAAGTGATTTCATTTTGTTAAAAGAGATTCAACACTTGCACTATTTACTGTTAGATTACCATGTAATCTGCATTTTAAATTAAACTACCTAAGGTCATTTAAAGACTCGCCGGCGGCTCACAAAGTGCTCGCCTAAGTGAGGAAACTATAGGTACTCACTAGTGGCTCCACATATTTACTGTTGGTAGGTTCAATACGAATGACATACTTCTACTCCTTTCTATCCTGAGCAAATCTTGGCATTTCCCGAAAACTACAACATAGCGCGATTACAGGAGTGATTTCATTTTGTTAAAAGGGATTCAACCTTGTACTATTCACAATTATATTACCATGTAACCTATATTTTAAATTAAAATACCTAAAGTCATTTAAAGACTCGCCGGTGGCTCACAAAGTGCTCGCCTATGTAAGGAAACTATATGTACCGCTTCGCCTGATCCACTAATTTAGTGACACTACCTACTTACTGTTGGTGGGTTTAATGTGAATGACACTTCTTCCTATCCTTGCTCAATCTTTGCATTTCCCGAAAACCACAACATTCCACATTAATCTAACCTAAATCTCTAGATCTCCCTATGTTTCTTTTTACTTCTAGTTCTACTTCTAATATCTATATCCTAACTAGCTTTTCACGTCTCATAAGATGCCCTATCATCATATTTCTCTATTTCCTTATTTGATTTTCTTGGCGCAAGCACAGAAATGATTTCCTTTTGATAAAAACATTCTCAACCTTGCGTGTTTCAATGTTGTATTTATAGTTATAAGTTACTTAAGGACTCGCCGGTGGCTCACAAAATACTCGCCTATGTCAGGAAATTATACCGCCTTACCTGACATACGTAAAAAAATAATTCAGTAATGCTACATACCCTTACCGTTTGTATTAAAGAACGAAGCAGTAGGTAGGTTTTCAATATGAATGGCGATCATGTAAAATTGAATTTTTATCAAAAGCAGTTGTTGCTGTAGCACTGACCTGTACAAAACATGGGTTCGTCGGACTTGTCACCGCAGTTGTCGGTACCATCGCAATATCGATCTAGTCGGATGCAGTGTCCGTTGTGACAGGGAAATTCGCTGATCCGACAAGCTGGTCCAGGGCTAACCGTTCCGACTAAATAGCCCAAGAGGAAACACACAGTCCACGTCGATAATGACCGCATACCGAACGGTTTCACTAAAACAAACCAGAAACAATCGTTTATTAAAAAAGCTGCCGCTTTCTTTCAGAATACATATATCCATTTCTAAATATTATTTTATATTTGTAATTGGATAGAATAATCCATATATAAATAAAAATTAAAAGCTGTTTCTTCGTCAGGGTATTACCTGAGAATCGTCGGACCGATTTAACTAATTTTTCTAAAAAATATGTTTCACATTATA